CTGCCTCCGAAGTTATACTTCCAGTGGAAGGAAGTATATTAAAATATTCTAGGGGTGCCTGGGCGACTCAGTCAGTTAAGCATCCGACTCTTATGCTTCGGTTCATAAGTCTGAGTTCCTGGTTGGACTCTGCACTTACAGCTGCAGACCTTGCTTGGGATTCTCTCCCTCTCTCTGCCCCTCTCCTGCTCACTATCTCTCTCTCTCAAAATAAAAAAAATAAAAAACATTTAAAAAAATATTCTATAGCTCACACAATACTTATTAACCCAGGTAAAGTTAACTACTCCCTTCTCTAATGCTGTCATAACATGACACAGATAAACACATGTTATTTATTAAACTTGTTTGCTAATTGTCTGCTTCTTTTTCTATCCCTCTAAATATAGATGGGGCCCACACCTTATTCAAACTGGTTTCCCAAATACCTGGCAAACAGTATATATGTACTGGAGAATAAATGAGTATGGCAAGCAGTTTAAATAGAGATAATACTTTGATTTTGTAAATAAACTAATCACCTAAACAATACTTCCCAAGGTTATATCCCGACCTATTGGTACTCCAATGTGGACTGCTCAACAGCTTAAAGGCACTCTTATTTAGAGAACATACTCAGTATCCGATCAGAAACAAAATTGTTTGCTTTCATATAAATACAAAGATATAATATTAATAAATTCTGATAAAAAGATCAGCAGTTATTTGATTTTTAAAACCCAGCAACCTAGTAATGAGTTTTTAAGCTTAAGATTATTTTCAGATAAATATTTAAAATAAATTTTAGAACTTGAGGCTATGTAAAACCCTGTTTTATATAGTCACATAGTTTGCAGTTGCTGGAGAATTGGTACTACCCATTGTGTATGTGTTCAGAAGGTACTACTTTTCAGATATATTACATCATTGAGAATTTTCCATTTCAATGGATGATCATTATAATGAACAAGATCAAAAGGATACAGACTATCCACACTAGATGCCTTTGAATTAAAGGCCTTAGTAAATAATCCCTATTTTCTTTTTTCCTCTAGACATTCAATGGGCCCCTGCGAAGTATTAGAAATACTATCAGAGGGGTGCCTGGGTGGCTCAGTCAGTTAAGCATCTGACTTTGGCTCAGGTCATGATCGTATGATTTATGGGTTCAAGCCCTGCGTTGGGCTCTGCACTGACAGCTCAGAGCCTGGAGCCTGCTTGGATTCTGTGTCCCTGCCTCCCTCTGCCCCTCCCCCACTCACACTTTATCTTTCTCTCTCAAAAATAAATAAATGTTAAAAAAAATCTTTCTTAAAGAAATACTATCAGAAATAGTGAAGCCATAACATTACAATTGAAGCTTAGCTTACTATAGTTAAAGGATTAATAGCTGAAAGACTGATAACTGAAGTATCCAAAACTGTTTTAATCTTCATAAACAGTAACCCTTCTCTTAAGGGAGAATTTTTTTTTCACAATAGTATTTTTGAGGAATTTCATTTCTAGAAGTTAACAGACTTAACTTGTACCTTCTTCCTACACCAAGTACAGTCTCCTTCAAACTGGCAGGGTGTGGCTACTAATTACTATTTGAACCATCCCCTAATCAGAGATGGAGAGGCCATACCCGAACACCTTTCCTTGCTTCTGGGTACCCCACCTATCCAAGTCCTAACAGTGGAGTCATCCTTAATATATGCGAGAGCTAAAACCTCTGACTCAGCTGCCAACCACACAAGAAAGAGAACATCTCTCTCAAAGATCTCTCTCCACATAAGTTAACTTTGCCCAAAGGAGTTTTTCTCCACAGTATGCTTTTTAAAGGAGACATTTCTATACATAATCATCCTCATTTAGTAAACTTACATATATAAATGATGTTACAGGGCAGGCAAGTCTTTGGTATTTTAAATACCTCCAAACATAGTATTTATCAAATTTCTGATTTAAAAGTAGTTCTGAATAAGCAATGAGATGAACATTAGGCCACGCCCCTAGAAAGAACCTGTAATTCCTTGTAAGTAAAAAGGTATATTTTACGTAATTAATTTTTCATTTAAGACATTTTAAATGCAGGCCAAATGTTAACAAAACTTTTCTCTATCAGAAGATAAAAATAATACTTCTATATTTGCTTCATGCTGTAATATTTATATTTTATTTTGGGGAAAAGGCAGAGACTTTGCTTAGCTATGATCCTACAAAAAAAGCAACAAAAAAAGTTGACTTTAATCATTTTTTTCTGGATTTATTCCACCTTACCTTGGCATGGAATTCCACAAAGCTCTTCTCTGAACATTGTTTCCTGTCTGACAATTAGGAACCAAAACTATAAACTTCTAAGTTCTTCCACTTTACATGGAAATCAATAAGCTAGTGTTAATATTGGACTGAATTTCAAAGCTCTGTTCTCTGTCCCTATTTGGCTGAAAGGTATACTATTATCAAGAAAGGTTCTATCGATCTTCAACTAGAAGTATCAGTTTTGCTGTCAGAGCTCTTTATTTTTGTACATAAAAGGAAGTGGGTTTTGATACTATCTCGGTGTTCTTCCTGTCTTACAATGCATTTGAAATAAAGTGATGTCAGATTGAGAGTAAAAGCCCTAAATAAGAAAACGGAATAGGCACAATTACTTTGCTTTACCTTTATTAATAACCGTAACTGATTTAGAAGTGCTGTGCGGCACACTGCTACTAGCACTCTAACTACAAGTTGTCCACGTGCATTTGCACTGGACTACCAAAAACATGACCACCTTATATAATATATAGCTAAAACTGTACCTAACTATGCCATATGCCATATGTATGACCCACGAATGAGAGAAGCACATTCTATGAGAAACGAAATCATTCTTCATCACTGGTAGCTGAGTGATGAGTAAACATGAATTCCACATGACATCATGTGCCCCTCTAATCTTTAGCTTCCAAACACCAACTAGCCCATTCTACTCTTAGTTTACTAGACTACCTATAATGAGAAAAGAGCTCTATAAAACATCTCATCTTAATCTAAACTGAGGATAAATATTCAATAACGTGACAATTTCTAGAAAATTTATGAATACAAAGGGAGTTCAATAACAATTTATCAAGATCACAATTCTGAATTTGCTACTACTTTCCTATTAAATGTCTTCTATTATGCCTAGTACAAGGTTATGCTATTTTAAATCTATTAACCTATTAACAACGGAATTATATTGCTATTTCTTAGACCTTCCTTTATCACGATACATTCATCTTAATTTCTTAGGAGATGGGCTTTACCAAACATGGAACAGCCACTACTCACAACAGCTACTGCGGCATATGTGACTATTGAAAACTAGAGACCTCCAAGATGATTTTGTTCCCAAATTCACTAGTCTGGCCTACTCTGCTATTGATTTCCCTGTTTCCAGCCACATCTAGAAATTATGAATCTTGCTAACTGCTTCTCTGGCTTAATGACTTGGCTTGGTTCCTAATCTTAGAATTTCCAAACTTAAAAGTTTTTTGTTTTTATTTTTTAAAGTTTTAACTGGGGACAAACAAGAGATATAGACTCCTTAACTTTGGGCTCCACCCTTCCAAAGAAAGATCCTTAGTGGGATCTAAGGAATGTAAGGCCTCTGGGGCGCCTGGGTGGCTTAGTCGGTTAAGCGTCCGACTTTCGCTTAGGTCATGATCTCGCTGTTCGTGTGTTCGAGCCCCGCGTCGGGTTCTGTGCTGACTGCCAGCTCTGAGCCTGGAGCCTGTTTCAGAGTCTGTGACTCTCTCTCTCTCTGACCCTCCCCTGCTCACGCTGTCTCTCTCTCCTAGAAATAAATAAAACATTTAAAAAAAAAAAAAAAATTTAAGGAATGTAAGGCCTCTGACCACACCCCCTTTCACTATTGACAGGGTTTATTTTAAAATATATATATATCAATAACAATAAGCACAGGTTACTAGCTTTATCTTGACTTTATTCCATTTGTTCTAATATCTGAGATCTAGGTTGCTCTCTTAAGTGGTTCTGATCTTAAATGTGCCCAAACTGCATGTGTAGTAGCTTTTCCAGAGGACGTGAATGATGCCACTCTATCTCAGTTCCCTCCAGAAGAAGCACATGCATGAATGCAGGGATGGTAATGAATCAGACTGTTTTTCTGATACAGTTCCATGTCAATGGTTCCAAAGCACCTAAAATTGGTTACTGAATCAAGTATTCCCATCAATATAACTCTAGCTCCTAGATCCAAAGAGAGCTCACCTATAACACAAATCTAAGAGGATACCCAAGCTAGGGAAACTTTTGGACGTCTATTTTGTTCTGGAATATCACTCTGTAAAGGTGCAAACAATTTTCCCTCTTTAAGAAGACTCTGACAAGAAGATAATCAGCAAGAATAGGTAATAAAATGCATCCTTAAGTGGAAAATCCATCTCAGAGAAGCTGTAGCAACAAAGACATTATTCCCTAAAAAAAGTTTTTTTGGGTAAGCTATGAAGCAGACACCAAGCAGGGGAGAGCAAAGACTATCAGACTAAATTTAGTCTTTGCTAGCAGAAATGAAAAGCATTCTTTTCCTAGTAAGCATATGGCTGTTGGAGCAATAAATGCTCAAATTTATGAAGAGATGATTAAAGAGGCAAATAAAATAAGAACATTCTTTAAAAAAAAAAAAAAAAAGACTATGGATGACCAAGAACTGAAAATGAACCCAGGTAAAACCTAGAGCTATGTTGTCCAACTGATAGCCACTAGCCACACGCGGCTATTTAAGTTAAAAAAAGAATAAAAAATTCATTTCCCGAACTGCCATATTTGAAGTACTCCACAGATACATGAGATACATGTAGCTACCGGTGTTGGGTTGGACCTCATCGACACAGAACATTTCCGTCACTGCAAGAAATTCTATCGGATGGTACCCATCTAAATGAGAAGGGAAAGAGATGTACTGTCTTGAGGTGTGAAAAAAAAAGGAGCTAACAAGGACATTTGTCCTAGAGCATTCAACACTTTACTGAGAGATCAGGTGGATTTACCTTTCCTTTTCCACCTGCTCTTTTTTCCCTCCTTGTTGCTGCCACCATCACTGCTGCTGCTGCTGTTCTCAGAACTCTGGGAATCTGACTGACCATCACTGCTTTCTTCTGAACCTTCTGATAGCTCTTTCACCCCATCCGGCACATCTTTCTGAAAATGTAGGCATCCAATTAGGATTAATCATTACCATTTCAGCAAATAAGAATTAAATTTCTGATATGCATTGTTTGCAACTTAACTGTGCTGATTAATTTTTAGTATTATAGGATTCAGTAGCAGAACCAGCAATATTTTCTGAATTCCTGTCATCTCTCTTCTTTGGGTCAATTTAGCTAATGTTTCCATCTACATCCAAAGATAAAAATTATACATGACAGTCATATGCAAGCACAACACATAGGCTCAAATATACAAAAACTGGGCACATATAAGTCCAAGTAATGAGGAAATGTTCAGAATAAAATAAGTTATATAATAAAAATTTTATAAAGGGTAGATATATTCATCATCCACATATATATACACATTATTTGCAAGTATGTACCATTATGTCTTATGCATTCAGTTGAGTCTGGTTAGGAACAAATACTATATATCTATTTTTTTAATTTTTAAGTAATCTCTTAACATGGGGCTTGAACTTACAAAACCACGATCAACAATCACATGTTCTACCAGCATGCACTGCCAACTGAGCCAGCCAGGCACCGCAAAAGGAATGATTTTTTAAAAAACTCAAACGAATCTTTGGTTTCTATGTTGGATAGTGAGACTGCTAATCAGAAGGGATAAGCTGTGTCAGCACAGTATATGAGAGATGTAACAGTACAGTTGCAAGATTAAGAACTAGGAAATAAAAACTTTCCGGGTTTGTGGCTTTATCTTCTAATTACGCAGCTTTGGTCAAAGTCTTAACCTCGTATGCCTCAGTTTACCTGTCTATAACATGAGAATAGTACCTACCTTAAGATTATTCTGAAATTAAGGGAGTTAAATATAAAGTGCTTAAAATAGTACCTGGCATATAACAAGAACTTAGTAAGTATTAACTACTATATATGTATATAGTATATAAAAATATACACATATAAATAAACATTAATTAACATTATTTCTAAGGTATGAAACTATGGATGGTTCTTTTATCCTCTCAATATATTTTTTATTTTCCCATGTAATTCATTTTTATAATCATATAAAAAATAATTCTGACATATAAGAAAAAACCCTCCTACCTACAACTGGCACTCAGGATATTATAGCCAAGACAATAACCTCTGATCTAGTAAGGAACTGATACTTCCCACCTATGTTTATATCCTACTGCCATTTCTCTCTAAGTCATTTCTTATGTTATATATTTTCTTATACTACACACCCCATAATTTTGTACTCTTTCCTTCAAAATGCAGAACAACTTTTACAGTTAGTTTCCAGCCAGACCTCCTGACCTGTACATTCAACAAGTATTTTAAGTACAAACATAATACTTCTTAAACTTAAACCTGTGACCCTTTCAGGATCAACTGGTCAACTGTGTATGCCCCAAATCTCAGAATCATTTCACCTCATCATTACTGACTCCATATAGTATACATTGTATTTCTCTAATGTCCCTTGCCTCTATCTCTTATACCACTCTCATAGTTCAAGCCAATTGCCTCTCGCAAACAGTGCCTGCCTTACCCTTAAATCTATCCTACTTGAATTATCCTAACACAGATATGATCATGCTATTTTCCTGAAAAACATCTGCCATCTCCTCAGCTATCTCTCTTTTTCCCTGTCAAACTGCTAAGTCAGGTCTTCAAAAGCCTCTAAAGTTCAATCTTTACCTAATGTTAACCCCACCCCCACTCCTTACCACACTAGCCCACACACAGATTACAGTAACCACTCCAATTTACTCTATTTTCAAATCCATTCTGAATCCATCTGAATCTGTGCCTTTGCTTAACCTATTTCCTTATCCTTGGGAGGCCCCTCCTCCCATTACTTATCTGCCAAATTCAACTCAAATTTTACAAGTTAAAACAAAAACTTTCTAGATCCTTTTATTCAAAATTAATCTTTATTTCTCTACATGATCATGATGCCTTATAGTACAGTACTTTATATCACAGTACATTTTGTCAGTATGTAATTACTTTAATAACTATGTGAGAGTCAAGAGATCAGCACCCAGTTTCTCCTTTATAATCTCCACAGTGCTCAGCATAGAGTAGGCATTTAATTAATGTTATTAAGAATATGGAAGGTCTAGAACTAAAACTTAAAAAAACACAAAAAGCTCCCCGTGGGAGTAGAGCCCCTAATCACAGGAAGTTTAACAAAGTGTATAAAAAAGGAGGTTTTATAGGTAAATTAGAACACTCTAATGTTAGTGGACTACACAAAACCACTGAGCATAGTGATGACTACAGCTGAAAGCTAAAAAGAGGTGACAGCATCCCACATACACATGGATAACAGTCAGTGCGTGCAAAGCACTAATTCTCCTTCTGCTGACAATTTCCTTTGGCACACAACCCCTTTCCTGAATTCATCTGGCAGAGGGCTTACCCTCAGCCTGGAGTCCACTTCAAATCCTCTGTCCTCCTCTCTCTATCTCTCCCTTGCTCACACTTTCCCAAAAATAAGTAAACACTAAAAAAAAAAAAAAAAAAAAAAAAGTGATCATGAACTTATGTACAGCCAAACAGAAGCCTCAATGTGTTCATTATTCAAGTATGACATGAGCCAAACCAAACCAATTAAGTCAAATCAGAACTAACAGGAGGGCTCCCACTTCAGACCCAAGGCTCTTTTCTCTCCAGATTTACAGCCTGCAGATTTGCAAATGGGTGGACAGAAAAGTCATGTATAATAGGAGAGAGCCTGCCTGAGAATGAAGCCACAAGGACACAGACAATCCCTGATGACATCATTTGAGCTCCTGGATCTAGGCTGAGTGTCCTTAGAATTTACAGTTCTATAATAAACTCTCTGTTTTAACCAAACTCACTTGAATTGGTTTTCCTGTTTGTCACTGAAGAGACCTCAGTGTCAGAATTAGAAATCAGCCAAGACTATTATGGTAAAAAGAACAAAGACTCAGTCAGGAATTCAGTGAGATCTGGGTCCATATTCCAGTTCTTATACTACCTGGTCAACACTAAGTAAGAACTTTGGCTTTCTCTACTACAGAAAAAAAAGAACTGCAGCTCTGACTTGTAATGGAGAATAAAATCACAAAGCAATAGAAAGCATCAAGACTGTACATTCCAAGGGAGCACTCATTATTCAAATGTTGTGAGGCCCTTTATAAAGTCACTGGAAGTCATTTTCAGTTCATCCTTTCAAGATAGCATTATAATAAACAATCAAAAATAAAATTACTTCTCTGGTCTACCTACGGATTAGTAAAACAACTGTGCAGGATACAGAGTTGAACGTTATTACCTCTTCCTGAAAACAAGCTCTTCAAGAACAGAATTCTGTCTCTGTGATGCAAGTATCATTTAGATGTAGTCACTTCCTATTTTTACTTTTTAAATGATGCCTTAACAAAAATATTTACCTTCAAAGTATATACGCCCATTCTACCTGGAACCTTATAGAAGATGCCCTCTTCACCTCGGGAGTTTGTGTGCAACATTGCATTCAGGCATGCAAGAGGGGAAGTCCCACTGCAAAGGAAAAAAAAAAAAAAAAAGAACAAGAGGAACACAATGATTAGTTTCGGTCTCTGTGTATCTACATAAAACTGACTTATGATAAAACTAACTGATCAACATCAATTCATATAAACGCATTTTATAAACTATAAAAAGTCTATCAACCTACAGAAAGAATGCCCTGGAGAAACAGAAAATTCATCCCCATGTATCTAAAGAAAAACTGATTCTTTATTTTTCTTAATCCTGATCCAGTATCAAACATCAAGAAAACATGTATCTCACAGGGGTATTACAAATATATTTTGTAAATAGTGTAATTCACTTACAAATTTTGTCAATTTACACCTCAATAAAGCTGAAATAAAATGAAATTTTAAAAAGATGGGTGCCTGGATGGCTCAGTTGGTTAAAGTCTGACTTTGGCTCAGGTCATGATCTTATGGTTCTTGAGTTCAAGCCCCACATGGGGCTCTGTATTGACAGTGAAGCGCCTGGAGCCTGCTTCAGAGTCTGTGTCTCTCCCTCTCTCTGTTCCTCCCCCACTCACGCTGTCTCTCTCTCTCTCTCAAAAATAAACATTAAAAAGTTTATAGAAAGAAAAAAAAAAGATTCTCCTTCATCTAGCAGAAGCTTTCACAAGCTTTACATCTCCAGAAGTAAAACAAGGCAGGGGAAAACACAAATACAGATTCCAATAAACAATATTAATCTTCTTAATACATATAAATCTCCATGCACACTGATGAAAGACTGAATCTGAGGTATGAAAGAACACATTTCTATGGTCTCTTATATTTTTATATTTTTTACTGATAGAACTGACATATATTATTCATATTACATTAGTTTCAAGTGTACAACATAGTGATGCCATATATATATATGCCATACATATACATATATCATGCAATGGTCTTGTACTTAGATCTATTACGAGATCACGTAAAGAGGTAAAGTAGGCTTTAGAATATTTTTTTAATTTTTTAATGTTTTTTATTTATTTCTGAGAGAGAGAGACAGTGTGAGCAGGGGAGGGTCAGAGAGAGAGGGAGACACAGAATCCAAAACAGGCTCCAGGGTCTGAGCTAGCTGTCAGCACAGAGCACAATGCGGGGCTCAAACCCCCGAACCGTGAGATCATGACCTGAGCCGAAGTCAGACGCTTAACCAACTAAGCCAAGCCAAGCTTAACCAACCAAGCCCCAAGAATATATACCTTCTATGTAGCACATTGGTTAACTGTTTACTAATTTCAATATAAACTTACCAAACCTCTAGAATTTTAGGTATATAATAGATTAGCCGTAAAAAATATAATACTTTCCGTTATCACGTTTCATTTCCTTTTTGTACTTATCTAACATAATAGCAATATAATAGAAAATGTGTGGCATCCTTACTTAAAAAAATTTTTTTTCTCCTAATATCTGACTTTATTTGTACATTTCCAGCTATTCTCCCTCTTAATTCTCTGCTGATACCACTCAAAACCCCAAATAAGAAGAGGCTGCTAGGTATCTTGGGTACACCTAATGAGCTGTCTGTCGGGGGAGCAGGACCATGGGCCCACTGTCTTCTGGTAGTTGTGAAAGTGTTCAGGGTCAAAAACTGGAAAGAAGATGGAGGGCAACCAAGAAAATTAAAAAAAAATTTTTTTTCCTGAAGAAAGTGTTGAGACTCTGCAGGTTGATTTTCATAGTTATGTTTATATAATTTGGAATTTCCATCTTAACAACACATATACTGTAGGGAACCTGGGTGGCTCAGTTAACTAAATATACAACTCTTGATCTCGGAGTACAAGTCCCACATTGGAGCCTACTTAAAACACACACACACACACACACACACACACACACACACACACACACTGCGATTCAGTCCGAATCCCAAAGTTTATATATATAAGAAATTTCTGGGCAGGGCACCTGGGTGGCTTAGTCGGTTAAGCGTCCAACTATTGATTTTGGCTAAGGTCATGATCTCACAGTTTGTGGGTTTAAGCTCCAAGTCGGGCTCTGCACTGACACCCTCTGGAACCTGCTTAGGATTCTCTCTCCTTTTCTTTCTAACCCTCCCCTACTCGTGCTCACGCTCGCTCTCTCACTCAAAAAAAATAAACTTAAAAGCATCTATCTATTCCCTCTTCTGAGACAATACCTAAAATTTCCCATGAAACATTATTCCTCTCCCACTCTCACACATGTGGTTGAGACTGATTTGATCACATGTGCATCACAGGTGTAAATTCAAACGGTTAAACCATGCTTCCCAAGCAGTGTTTCTGTGTGCACCCCCACCCCCCACCCCCACAGAGACAGATTCAGGAACAGACATATGACTTGATCAGGGGCAACAATCCTAGGAGCTATTTACTTGGGCATTTAAGAAAAGAAACTTGTTCTGCACAGAAGCTTCAGAAAGAAACTCTTTCTCATCCCCTTAGCACTAAGAGGAAGTGATGCCTAAAACATTCAATCATGTGACCAAGAGGAACATATCTGGATTGGGGGTAAACACACAAGACAGACAAAGGAAGGGTTGGATAAGGATTATAAAGAAAAATACAACACCCAAAAAGGCACTGAACTGAAGAAAGAAAACAAAAGGAAAACAGCAATAATTTTAGCAATGTTACTTTTGCCGTTCTATCAGTCCTTGCCTTAAGCTACTCCTACCTTTGGAACTGCTGAGGTTTTAGGTCAAAAGCAACCAAAAGAGTTGTAAATAAAATAGTGTATGTAAAGTAGTGCTGGCCTAGCATGTTAGCTCTCACAGTACATGCAAAACATTCCAAATGGATTAAAGGGCAAATTGTAAAAAGTAGCAGGTTATTAAAAAAAAATAGTATAGGGGCACCTGGGTGGCTTAGTCGGTTAAGCGTCCGACTTTCGCTTGGGTCATGATCTCGCGGTTTGTGGGTTCGAGCCCCGCGTCGGGCTCTGTGCTGGCTGCCAGCTCAGAGCCTGGAGCCTATTTCAGAGTCTGTATCTCCCTCTCTCTCTGACCCTCCCCTGCTCACACTGTCTCTCTCTCTCTCCTAGAAATAAATAAAAATATTAAAAAAAAAAATAGTATGTCACCTGCAAGATAGATAAACCTTTCTAAATAAGACAGAAAAACCTAAAAACCACAAAAGAGAAACACTGATTAAATAAAAATAAAAATCTCTATGTAGGAAAAAAATAAGATGAACCAAACTGTAGAAAGTATATGAAGTTGAAAGTAACTGCAAAACAAATGGCAGACCAAACAATGAACAGTCCTACGAGAGGTGCTTTTAGGAAAACATAAACCAACAATTTTAAAAAGTGGATAAAGGAGGCACCTGGGTGGTCCAGGCGGTTAAGCATCCAACTCTTGATCTCAGCTCAGGTCGTGATCTCAGTTTGTGGGTTCAAGCCCCACATCGGGCTCTGTGCTGACAGCACGGAGCCTGATTGGGATTCTGTCTTTCTCTCTGCCCCTCCCCAACTTGTGCTCTCTCTCTCCCTCAACATAAATGAATAAACTTAAAAAATATTTAAGTAGATAAAGGATATGAGTAAATGACCATAAAAAATGCATGTAAATGGCCTATAGAACATATGGCAGGAAGCCCAAACTTCCTAGTGATCAAAGGGGAAAAAATTAAGTCAAGATACCACTGATCAGGCTGGAGATCAAATGAATCCCCACGTCTTAGTTAACAGTACTGTGCTAACATCAACTTCCTGGTTTAAATGTTGTGCTATAGCTACAGAATGTTACCACTGGAGGAAGCTGGGTAAGGTATACATGGGATTACCTGTCCAGTTTCCTATGAGTCTATATATACTTTAAAATAGGAAACAAAAAAGCAAATGAATTGATAAAATCCATTGCTGGTAAGGTTATGGACAAATGAGTACTCTTAATAGATTATTGGCAGAGCTAAAAATTACCACCTTCCCCACCCCTTCTCAGTACTGTGTTAGGGAAGTAACATGGAAGTACCCATTGAAATGAAAAAAAAATTAGGGTCCACTTATCCAACAATCCCACTTCTATTTATCCTACAAAAATAAGGTCACAAGGACTTATAGCCATATATGAAAGGATCATATCCAGTATTATTAAAAGTGACAGGCACTGAAAATGACTTCAAAGTCCATTAATAAGTAAATGGTAGGCCATATGTAACCAACAGGACATGAATCAGTAACAACTACATTAATGGCACACCTGGCTGGCTCAGTCAGTAGAGCTTGTGCTCTTGATCTCAGGGTTATGAGTTTGAGTCCCATGTTGGGTGTAAAGATTAGTTTAAAAAAATGAAATCTTAAAAAAAAAATGATAAAGTACTTTAAGTCTGAGAAAGAAACAAATAATGTGATCTAGGATCTAGTACCTAGAATCCAAAACACTAAAACATAAACAAAACTAAGCAACCCAAACCAAAAAAACTCCTTAAAGGAAAACCCAAGAAATGAAAGTAAATGACACACATCTGGTGAAAAGATATGGTAAAAGTCATAAAAACACCAACATAATATTTTCCTTGCAAATCTGGGTATAGTTTTCCTTTAAAGTAAATAAGGAAGTTCTGAATAACCCACAAGATATACAAAACACTATACTATTTAAAACAAAAATTTAGTTTTAGGAAAATACAAAAAGTCAGAAAATCCTGGCAGGGCTTATTTTTATGAATAATGAAGCAATGGCAGAGAAGTATAACAGACTACACTTCCCATGATGGTAGTTATAGATCTTCAAGGAAAATAACTCCAGAATTATATAATTCAATAAAAGAACTGAATAACCCAAAGAAATAGGTACCATGTGAAAGGGAGATAAAACCCTGGTACTCAGAAGATCAATACCAACGTAAAGTCAAGCTTAAGTACAATATGAGGTAAGTCCTGACACCTGAAGCAAGAACGCCTCATTACATAATTCATGAGACAACGCAGCCTCTAATTTTTCTTACCCATGCTCAAGAAAGCAGAGTTGAGGAGGAGAGAAAGGAACAAGTACTATAATTTTAT